AATGATTATCACAGGCTAGTCTAAATTTAGTAACGATATTAGCGGCCAATTTCATCGTGAACATTGTAAACTTGTGCCCTTCTAACCGCGCAATGCTGTGACATATCAACAAAATGAAATCGTAACTTTGTAGAGAAAGGTCTTAGCTTCAAAATTACGGCCTATTTTTTTGGTGTTACATTCCATTTTTGGAGTTAGAGAAGGATCTACAAGGCCAATAAAAGTTGTGGGACTAGGTGTCTTGCACTATACAACCATCCAAACCTGTACCACAATCTGGGTATGATCTGGGTAAAATTGTGTGATCCAGCCTGTTGCAGGCCTCTAATATGTACAATGAAGAATCTATGTATCAAATTCATGGTGTAACTGTGTGAACATTCTAACCACAAAATCACATATGACTGTAATTTAACTGGTTGCCAGAGTTTGTGTTTATAAAGGATGTTGGACAAAATTAATATTTACTATTTCTTTTCCTGATGCTGTATATCAGATATTGTCAATTTATATAAATCACCATGTGATCAAAATTACTATTACTACTATTAGTATTAGGGCATATTGATGGATTGTCTGCAGAGATGTGTTTGCAAAATGACCCTTAAATCATCTGTTGTTGTTGCTGCTAATTTCCATGTGCTGATTATGTCGATGATATAAAAAAAAAAATAATTAGTTTCTGACATGCTTGTAAAACTTCTAAGATAGGGAGGGTGATCATTTCTTGTAAGGAAAAAATTTCCTTTTTGGGAATCATGGAAAATGTCTGATAAAGTAAGTAAAAAGTTAATTGGTGATCCGTCTATGAATCAGTGAATTTTAATTAGTGATCAGTGGGGGAAAAATGTCATGAAAACGACTAATCGAGTACCTTTGCATAAAAAGTTGTACTATACTTTTGTTCCACTATATAAATTTTTTTGTTATGTGCACATGGGAAAAATCTCAAAGATTACAGAAATATAATTTTTTTTCTCATTTGCATAGACAAAAAGAAGAGTTTACTATTTGGTCACCATGGATTAAAGGTTCAAATAATAAGTGTAACATATGTAGAAATTTCAAAATTCTTATATTTTCATACAAAGAAAAGAAAAATATTATACATTGCAGTAAGCTTAAAATATAATTTAAATTATTAATAATAATAACAATTAATATAATAATAAATAATTTATAAACATACATATTTATTCAAAGAATTGGTTTTTATTATTTTTATTATTTATAGTTATAATAATTTTCATATAAAGAAGAAAAAAATTTATATATACATACATTCAGTAAGTTTAAAATTTTATTTGGATAGTTAAAATAATAAAATATAAAAAATTTAATGATTTTGTCATTTTCTTTATTTATATATATATATAGTTATAATAAAGAATTTGAAGATTCTTTTTTATATTTTTGATTAAATCTTGAGATCCATGATTTAATTTGCTGAAGCGTTGGTATATCATCTTCTTCAATTTCATTTTCCTTGGCCAGATCATTGAGATTACTCAACATATCTTCAGCTGACATTTTCATATAATTATCAATGTTACCTTGGAGAAACATTACCTTGAGCTTTTCTACAACATTTACATTGAGATGTTTACCACCACCTTTTTTTCCAAATTTTTGATTGCCTTTCAATGCAAATCCAGGTAATAATTTTTCTTTCAACAAAACATTTCTGAAATAAAACAATAAATAACTATACAACATTTTTAAGATTTTTTTAATAAAATTTTTTGATAAATATTTACTCACATATCTATACTTTGATTATAACTCACATCCATTTTATTTATATTATCTCCAAATTCATGTAATTTTTTTTTTATTTCACTTTTAGATCCTGTTGAATTTATGTTTCTTTCTCTTAGTTTTGTTCTAATCTCAAAATTTGGCATATTTTGGATGTTAGGATCTAAATCAAATTAGAATTGGTAAGCATGATCTTAATATATTAGAATATTTTTTAAAAAATATTTACCAATTTTTGAAGGAACATTAATTGTCTATAATTTTTCTGATGTAGCTACACCACTAATTGTTGGATTTGGTTTATTTAATTCTTTATTTTTAGAAAATTTTTAAAAGAAATTGTTTGTAAGTTGTATTGACTGCTTTTGTCATATTTTCTGCTGAACTTATGAATTGTTCAATTGAACATACAAATTTTGGCTGATTTTTTTCATTTATATCTATAAAACAATTTAACCTAGCACCTTTAATAGTATGTTGAGTATTCAATTTAATTCTAAGTGGGAAAAGCTTTTTTGTTTTAGTAGTAGGATCAAGTTTTTCATGCCACCAGAAAGAAGCAAATGGACCATAATGAAGATTTTCATAAATATATCCAATGTAAATTATATTTGGATTCATTTTTGTATTAAAAAAATTAGTGATAAAATTGTTTATGACTTGTTGATTTTTATTTATTATTAATAATAATAACAATAAAATATAAAGTTGTCAGGTATTTTGTAAAAAAAAAATATATATAATAGTGTTCCGGTACTCATGGATTTTTTTTTGTCAATCATTCATATAATAATTCCCCCCATTTTTTATTATAGAAATGTCGATCCTTTCACTGTTTCATAGGCGGATCACCAATTAATATTTTATTTGTTGCCAGTATGGAATGGTTTTGGGCAAGTAACATCTTTGTATTTGTCTTTCACAAATGGGCGAGTATTCTGGTAAAGATATTCTTGCCTTTTGTAATCCAAAGGAGGTGGTATTAACACTAAAATAAATAAAGTTCTAATTTCTTCAAAAATATCTGTTTTCTTGGTTTTCAATAAATTGAATTCAGCAAAAGGTCCATTAGCAATTTCCTGAGCTTTGACCATACCAAGATTAGTTGCTTCAAAAAGAAAATGTTAATATTTCTGGATACTTGGTAATTTCTTGAAATAAATTCCCAAAATTGCTTTAATATCTACCTTTTCCACCTTCATAACATTGAGCTTTATTTAATCCTGTTGGACTAGACTTTTTTATTACTTCAACCACATGGTCCAAACAATCTACTCTTGTTCTTCTATAGAGTTTTTTAATCATACCAAAATTACCATCACATTTAAATTTGGTATGTCCTGGAATCATGAAATTCAATTCAATACTTTCATAATAACCACAAATTACCAAATATAAATAAAACCAAATTGTTACATGATTTTTATTTTGTCCCCCAGCATTATCATAAGTAATCTTTAAATACTTTTCACCTTTATTTAATTTCTTAATTCCATCAAAGATCAATCTAAGAGTTCCATTGGGCCCTTTTCCTATAATCTCATCTTCATTAAAAACATAATTAATTTGTTCCCTTACTGCTTCATCTTGAATACCAAATAAATGAACTTTACATGGACTAAGGTAATAGATTTTACTTACTTGTTGATCTAAATGTGGTACATGAACATTTTGGGCTCAATCATAACTATAATGAGCAGTAGCATCAATGCTGCAATATTGGGTTTTACCCTTGGAATAATTTTGGTTAACTAATTTTTTTTGTTCTTCTGCTAATTTAGTATTTTTATTATAATAATTTCTTTCTAATTTAGCCTTGGACAAATGCTCTTTAAATCTTTGGAGTAAATCTTTGGCTTCTTCCTCTTGGCGAGAATTGTAATGTAAACCATTTCTGAAATGCTGACAAGTATCACACAAATCAGTCCTGGGACTCATAATTTGAATTTCTGGTGTCAGTTGGTGTCACAATTTTCTGAAAGCATCATACTTCAAAGATTTCAAATGACTATCTTCTTCTAGACCAGCTAGAAAATCTCTGTGTACAGATTTATAACTCATTTCAGCTGGTAAGAATGTAACTGATTGAGTTATTCTATAGATGCTTCTTCCTGGGCTTGGTAGTCCATGAACTTCTGCATAATTTTCTAGAAAATTCTTTACTACTTCTGCAACATTTTTATCAATCATCATTTTTGTTTTCCATTGAGGCATTTTTTTAATATTACCATGAATTCTTGGCAAAAGACCATTGTTTATCAGATGATTTCTAATGTTTTCAAAATAAGTTCTACCAATTCCCAACATATTAAGATAAGTTTCTTGACAAAGAGGTGTATTATGATCCCAGTGATAGAAAGTTCTTTTATTAGATCTAGTTTTCTTCTTAAGACGTCTACTAGTGCTTGCTAATCCACCATCCATTGCCTTAAGTTGAGCCATTAAAAATATGTCTTGTTCAGACTTGGAAAGAGCTTGAAAGGATTCTCTTAATTCTGCAAATTGTTCCTTGGGGATTCTTGAAGAACAACTACAATTAGATCCTTTTTCTAAAAAATCAATTGCCTTTTGATATTCATTAGAACCATTATACTTACTATTACTTTTCATATACACTTATCCCTATATATATAATTTTATAACTTTATGTTCACTTTGTAGGTTTTTTAAAAATTGAGATGAGAAAAGAAAGATGGAAAGAGACCAATCAAAGAACAAAATATTTAAAGAGGCAAATATTTGAAATATTTTATTTTCATTAACAACAATTTAATAAAAAGTGATTTTGTCTTTAAATAATTATATATTTTTTTATGTTTTAGTTGGTAAAAAAAAATAAAAATAAACTTGACTTTTTTAATCCTTTTCCTGATGTGCATAAATTCATTACAACATTCATAATATTTCACAAATAAATTAAATTGATAAATTGCATCACCCAAGTAATAAATAATACCAAGACCATGTATAAATAAATTTTTTTAAGTCAAAACAATAAATGTGTGTCTACCCAAGTCTTTGGGATCACAAAAATAAATTATTTTTTCTGATTATCAATTATGGTTCCTTATGAATAATAAATCTGATGTTGATCACAGGTGTCAGATTTAATTGAAATTTTCCTATCACCAGCATGCAAGACCGTGCAATTAAGCACAATTCAGCACTATGGATTTTTTTCCACAGGTGAAACAGACTTAAACATGTTGGAAGGCTTTGGACAAAACTTTTCCCTTATCTCTCCTCTAAGACCAGGCTTGGCTGTTGCCATATGGGCATTGATTGCTGATGAGAGTTGACATTTATGATGCTTGCTTTGTGTTATTGCCACACTAGCATAAAAGTTGGCACCTGCAACTGGTTGAAAATTCTGCAACTCAGGAGGTTGCAACCTGGATTGCTGCTTTGGATTTTCCCTGAATTCAGAGTTTTGGGTCCTGGGTTGCTGTAATTTTTATGAAAAGAAAAGTATTAATATTTAACAATTAATTATTTAAATGTTTATTTTGTTGAAAAAAATATACATTGATAGTGTACATTTTCTGTGCTTAACATCCACGTGACCCAAAGTCTGGACAAAAGATCCCTTTCTATGAGTTTGGCTGGTATATCCCAAAGGCGTCCCCTGTCTTGTCAGTGGCATACCTACTCACCAACAACCCTACCCCCATTTATTTAAATAACAAGTTTAGTTGGTCAGATAAAATTTTAGAGAAACAGAGAATTTGGAAAAATGTTTAATTTATATGGAACATACCAAACAAAATCCGAACCATTTTATAACTTTTTCCTTGTTGGCCATATCACTGACAAAGATATATATAATCATGCGATAATTTTAATCTATATGGGAGGGACCATTTAGGCAAAAGCCTATGTCCCCTCCCAAAAATTATAAATTTGTGTTAGTATCAGAAAATCAGGTAATTTAAGAAAATCATTAATTTATATAAAACAAAAACTATTTTACAACTTTCCTCTTAACATCAGAACCCAAATGCAATCTCAGGGCCACCAACCCTGCTCTGAATTGCAACCTCCTGGTGCTTGAAACGAATTGCAGATTCTCTTGATATTCCTCCAGAGTTGCAACATGGTCACAGTGCCATCCTTACCTTAGAGGTGGGATTGTTGCAGGCGACTTTTCGGCTAGCATGGCAGCAGCCATCTCTGGTCTGGGAAGATTAGTGAAAGCGTCATTGACGATTGGTGCAGTCTCGATAAACTCCAGATCCACGCGCCTTCTGGAATTCAGTTGCATCATCATATCTTCGGGTCGTCGGGTCAAGATTAGCCTTATGTACACGAGGAATATGTGAGAATGACTGTAAAGTGTTCAAGGTAGCATGCGTGCTTCAACGTTTGCCAATTTCCGATAATCAAACGTTGCATATCAAAATGTTTCTTTTTAAATGGTGTGCTGCCTTGACATCTTCTTGTGATTATAATAATATAATAATATTATTAATATTATGGATTACGAAAAGCAGAATATTATCAATGAAAATCTTGTAATTACCCAGCAAGATCTGCTCTGCGTTTTGATTTCCAATTAAAATATTTATATAAAATAAAAAATATCAATACAAATAAAAATAAGTACCTCTGGTTAGGTATTAACATGTTTTCTTTAGGAGACCAAAACCAAACCAAACAACAACGTTCACGTTTTGTCACCTTGGACTCTGTCAAAAAATAAATTGTTTTTCCAAGAAAAAAAAATCAATTCGCGTCTGTCCTACCAAAAAAAAAACCAATAGGATAAATAATTAGCGTGTATGCGTCGATCAATTAAATAATTTAATAATTTAAGGATTTCAAAATGCCGAACAAAAGCAATGACAGAAAAAGAAGCAGAGAGGATTATTTGGAAGAAGAAAAAGGGTAAGTGTTTTAAGGATGGTGGTGGTGGTTATCGCCCGCCACTCGTCATCACTCTAGTTATATTAAACAACATTGTATTTATTTTTTAGAATATCTGATCAAAAGCCAAATAAAACAAATAGTAATGGTAATATCCTAAAGAAGCTTGGTATGTCTACTATATAATTTTACAACACTTTTAATATTATTTATATTAATTGATTCAATTTATATTACATTGAATAAAAGATGATCGTGATGATGGCATTAACAAAGATGTTATAAGTCAAAATCATTTTTTATTTGGTTGATCTCCTCCACCTATACCTGCACCAAAATTTGCCTTTCTACCTTCTTTGAATTCTATGCCAATAAATATATTTAATCTATCTAAAGTTGCTCCTGTCCAGGATAAGGTTGCGGGAGAAACTCCTCCAGAAATCAATCGACAGAGTTTTGACAGGTTACACATTAATTGTTTATTAGAGTTTCGGCAGAGTTTCGCATTTGGGGTTTTCGCCAATCATCAGAGTTTTGACAGGTTACACATTAATTGTTCATTAGAGTTTTGACAGAGTTTTGACAGTCATTAAGAGGTTTTGCCCACAACCTTAGTCCAGGAAGTAATGAAAGATAATGATATTATCACAAATTCAGATGAAAATGAAAGAAGCACATTACCTCATTTGAGCATAGAATACGTCGGATTATGATATTGAAAGTAATATGGAATTGATTAATGACCTAGTTGTTGAAGAAACTGATAATGGTAATAGCGAACTGGATGAACAAATAATTAATTCTTTTAGCATAGATTCTTGGAAGGAGTGGAAATTGAAGTCTGGTAATAGAGTAATTGATATTTTAAAAAATGCATCTAATCTTAATGGACATAAATTAAGGCAAGTTAATGTTTAATTGTGGTGTGTACTGTATGTTTTCTTTTACTAACATTTTATGACACATTAGACTGGAATGCTCAGGAATAATTCGTTGTGGATATAAAATTGCAGCTCCTAAGTGGTGCTCTAAAACAGATTATCATGAGATTCAACTTACCTGCAAACCACGTGTTTCAATAGCTCCTACAATAATAATGAAAAATCTTCTTAACTGGTACTTTGTTTAATCTCTACTTTTTGTTTGCCTTTGTTTCTTATTATTGTTATAATAAATCAAGTTTAAAATGAAACCATTACAGGGATCTTTAGATACTATGAATAAAGAATTGGAAACACTTAGACAAAGAGGTCCAGAAGCATCACTTCAAGATCCAATGAATAAATTCTTTTGTGCCATTTTATCAGACTTGTAAGTAGTAGGTTCACTCAATTTAGTTTTTAATAATATTAATGCAAGGTTTATCCATTTGTTAAAGTACTTTTTTTCCATTTTCCATCAGTAATAAGTTTGTATATCCAAACAATGCTTTGATTCAACGTGGAATAGATTCAGAAAGTATATATGGAGTTTATGTTATTCACACTTGTTTTAAAGAACTTTTTTCTGGTTTAGAAAATGAAATATTATATAAGCCGTGAGTATTTTTTGTAACTTTTAAACAGTAAAATGTGTTGTTTTGTTACACATTATATACTTGATAATGTTGAAATTTTTCTGGTTAAAGAGGTGAAGCGATTCTATCATCTGTTGAAATGTCACGAAGACAAAGGAAAGCAACTAATCATTATGAGCAAAAGGCTGATGGTGTATTTTTAATGTGTTTAAATAACTGTTTGTTAGAAGTTGGCCATCTTGAGATAAGTGGTGGGTATGGTCATCGAGAGCCACCTAGGTCAACATGGGACCATGTTAAAGGGGCTGTTGGTGCTGCATATATGCTTACAGAATTATCTCAACGATATAAAAAAGGAAATAGATCTACATTTTCTAAAGTTCAAACACACTTTGTGCATGTTTTTGGTAAATAACCTTTATAGAAAGCTTTATAGTGATCTAATTATTCTTTTAATGCTCTGATCATCTTTGCATTCTGTAGAAAATCATATAGAAATATGGCAATTATTTAATCCTGCACATGGGGTTCTTTTATTTGAGCGCACATACAAAGCTCAAGTTCCCATTAATTGGAACAATCATCGGGAATATTTTTTTGACTTCATTGTCTTACTGTGGAATCTAAGGGTATCTTGCTATTTTTATTTGCTTCAATTAGATTCAATTATATTCAAAAATTGATATGGTCTTGTTTTTTGCATAGACAAAAATTTTAGAAACAACAAAATCAATATTAGAATTACATGAGGAACACAATTACAATATTTTTGAAGAAAATTCACCTCTTTACAGAGGACTTCCAAGGACAGTTACTCCATGTAAAGAGGAAAGTTGTAAAATAGTTTTTGTTTTATATAAATTAATGATTTTCTTAAATTACCTGATTTTCTGATACTAACACAAATTTATAATTTTTGGGAGGGGACATAGGCTTTTGCCTAAATGGTCCCTCCCATATAGATTAAAATTATCGCATGATTATATATATCTTTGTCAGTGATATGGCCAACAAGGAAAAAGTTATAAAATGGTTCGGATTTTGTTTGGTATGTTCCATATAAATTAAACATTTTTCCAAATTCTCTGTTTCTCTAAAATTTTATCTGACCAACTAAACTTGTTATTTAAATAAATGGGGGTAGGGTTGTTGGTGAGTAGGTATGCCACTGACAAGACAGGGGACGCCTTTGGGATATACCAGCCAAACTCATAGAAAGGGATCTTTTGTCCAGACTTTGGGTCACGTGGATGTTAAGCACAGAAAATGTACACTATCAATGTATATTTTTTTCAACAAAATAAACATTTAAATAATTAATTGTTAAATATTAATACTTTTCTTTTCATAAAAATTACAGCAACCCAGGACTCAAAACTCTGAATTCAGGGAAAATCCAAAGCAGCAATCCAGGTTGCAACCTCCTGAGTTGCAGAATTTTCAACCAGTTGCAGGTGCCAACTTTTATGCTAGTGTGGCAATAACACAAAGCAAGCATCATAAATGTCAACTCTCATCAGCAATCAATGCCCATATGGTAACAGCCAAGCCTGGTCTTAGAGGAGAGATAAGGGAAAAGTTTTGTCCAAAGCCTTCCAACATGTTTAAGTCTGTTTCACCTGTGGAAAAAAATCCATAGTGCTGAATTGTGCTTAATTGCACGGTCTTGCATGCTGGTGATAGGAAAATTTCAATTAAATCTGACACCTGTGATCAACATCAGATTTATTATTCATAAGGAACCATAATTGATAATCAGAAAAAATAATTTATTTTTGTGATCCCAAAGACTTGGGTAGACACACATTTATTGTTTTGACTTAAAAAAATTTATTTATACATGGTCTTGGTATTATTTATTACTTGGGTGATGCAATTTATCAATTTAATTTATTTGTGAAATATTATGAATGTTGTAATGAATTTATGCACATCAGGAAAAGGATTAAAAAAGTCAAGTTTATTTTTATTTTTTTTTACCAACTAAAACATAAAAAAATATATAATTATTTAAAGACAAAATCACTTTTTATTAAATTGTTGTTAATGAAAATAAAATATTTCAAATATTTGCCTCTTTAAATATTTTGTTCTTTGATTGGTCTCTTTCCATCTTTCTTTTCTCATCTCAATTTTTAAAAAACCTACAAAGTGAACATAAAGTTATAAAATTATATATATAGGGATAAGTGTATATGAAAAGTAATAGTAAGTATAATGGTTCTAATGAATATCAAAAGGCAATTGATTTTTTAGAAAAAGGATCTAATTGTAGTTGTTCTTCAAGAATCCCCAAGGAACAATTTGCAGAATTAAGAGAATCCTTTCAAGCTCTTTCCAAGTCTGAACAAGACATATTTTTAATGGC